GAAAACTCGCTTCCGGATTCCAAGAAATTTGAAGGAGTGTAATCTGAGCAGTCCGTATCAGAAATCCCCATTAGAATTGTTGACTGAAGCTCGCGCAAGTCCTGGCAAGAGTATTCCGAAACGTCCTCGTAAGATAATTGCTCCGTGCAAGCAAGATCCGATTCAAACTTCAAGCTGTTAGGCCACTGTTCTATTGTCGAATCCGACTTCGAAATAGTGAAAGTTTCATTGACCTCATTCCTCGGTATCTCCGGTACCTGAAATTCCCATACTCTGTTCTCCTCAACCTCTAATCCTTTCTCTTCGAACGAACAGACGCTCTCGAAGATAGATTCAGCCCAAGACTCTACACAAGGAGTGAGTGGCACAGTTCCCTTTCCACAAAGCTTCGACGAGACATCAGCATCAGTCAGTTCGAACTTCAGAGCTCCATTTTCCGCTTGACCGGCTTGATCTTCATTTTCCTCTACGGTTCTCCTAAAACCACTCCTAATCTTCAACTTCGAGCTACTCCGTCCGAGAACAACAAAATCAACTCCAGAATTCGACTCCACGCACGACGATTCAGAAACTTCGACGTTAGCCTCATTCCTTCCCTTCTTAACCTCACACTCGTCGTTAAAGCAAGCTCTCGTTACTCCATTGGAAGCAGAATCCAAATTCACGTCAATAAACTCGGCACTCGAACCAAATCGCGTCTTCCGCAAATTCGTCCTCGCATTCACAGCACCACACTCCAATTCAAAAACCGCATTGAGTTGACTAGAAACCTCACCTCCTCCTCCTCCCTGGAAGGAACCGCAGCTGGACTCAGCCGCAGCAACGGAAGAAGAAACGAGATCAACACTCGTACACGGAGCAGCCGAATCCGACTCCGGCAAGCAGAAAACAGGAGAAATCCGAGCGCGTCTCCGGCGAGGAAGCTGAGAACGAAGCTTCTTCTTGGGAGGACACTCCGATTGCGGTTTCGGCTTCGACCTTCGCTTCTTGGATTTCATCGCGAGGAGAAGGAGGAGGAGGCTATGCAGATGAGTTTGGTGATAGAAGCAGTTATGGAAGTTGTGAATTGGAATTTGGAAGTGAGTTAATGGAGTTCTGAGAGGCTCTTTAGTAATTATGTGCAACACAAGTCTTTCTTCATGTGTATTCTGTTAGGCAGTCTGGCGTGTTTAGGATTTGAAGATGAGTGGGAGTACTTGATCTTGGTTATTAATTCATTATTAATTTCCAAATATTTTATTTATATTAGCTTCATTTTGAGTATTTGGATTCTAGTTTGTTATTAATCATATGATTGTTCTATATTATCTCATAATCAACCGCATATCTACATCAATTAATTTATGATTTATTACTTAAATATCAATATAATGTTTGTATATCATTTATACATTTGTCTGTATATTCAAATTAATTTGTGAGTTACACTCTATTGAATGATAAATAACTATATGCAATGTTTTTATTAAATTGGTGACTTATATTATATAGTTTTAGGAAGCATTTGAGTAGCATGATCTTGACAACTAACAAGGGAAACCACACTGTGTCACAATTGTATTCTTGCGACAGCAAAACAACGATTGTACAACACTTCTAATCTGGTGAACAAGTCAACTGTATAAAAATTGTAAGTAACAGACAATTCGTATGTATAATCGAACCTCGAGCATGTTTGAGAGTGTTTTAGAAAACGTGAGCGAGGAAATGCATTGAAAACAATGGATAAGAAAGCAATGTTATGGGCTCAAAGCAAACAAACAACAACTAATTTTGATAGCATATAATCGAGATATAAAGAATTGACGACTAGTCATATCACCTATAATACATTTTAGGGCATTTTAGTCTTATTGAGTGTAAACATAATTTTGGTGAACAGTCAATATTGACATGACATGAATAGTAAAAGTCTAGTTATACATAAAAGCAAGAGATTTTAGAACCTACATGCAACCATGGACCACACGTCCTGGATAAACATGATTAACATATTTGACATGCAACCATAAGCAATACAATTTGGACAAGCATGACCGTGACACAATAAGTCCGGTGCAAAGGACTTCCTATTTCCTTGGTATGCCAATGAGAGGTAGAATTTGAACAAAGTAAAATGAGCTAACCTATTAGTTACTATAATGTTCGCATTAAAAAAATAATTAGATAATAATTACCTATAAAATTAATATTTCAATATCTCTAATTAAATCTTATTGTTTATACAAAAATTATGGGAAAAAATTGATATTTCCTTTATCCACATAAAAATTGATTGTTCGAAATACCTCTTGAATTTTCCTCATAAAAAATATTTATTTTAATTGTAATATATTCTAAGAAAATGCGCACATAATTTTTCAAAAGAAAATTGAAGGCCTATCCTTTGTAAATGAAAGAAAATTAACATTTATGTAAGAAGTCCAATATAGCCTTGTACACTAAAATGGGCCTAGCACAATCTCAGTCATCGGCCCAAGTATACTACAATGGGCCTATCACAATCTCAGTCATCGGCCCAAGTTCCAAAGTCCATTAAGGGAAGACTAGAACTAAATTTGGTATTCCTTTGGAAGGGATAAAAATGTAATTCAAAATGTTGCATTTTAAGAAGCTTAGGGATAAGACGAATAAATTAATATTATTAAGGCATATAAAAATGATTGAATCAAAGCAATTAATCCGTATATAACCTTTTATTAATTAGGGCTCCTTGGGTTCCATTTAGGGGAACATCAATCATATCCCTTCATATGCAATGCTTAAAACTAAAATCATTCTCGAAACTTAGGGATAAACTAATTTTGCATATGAATTATAAATCTTTTCAATTAATATATGTATTCGTTTGTCTCAGTTATTGTCGCTATTATTTTTAAAAAATGGTTGTTATGAGTAGATCAACGACAAGGATGATGCCACGTAAGGAGTGAGCAGCATAATAACCATGGAGTGGCAGCACAGACAATTACAACTTATTTAATCCAAAAACCTTATCCGGTTTAGTTGAGAAACGTGCTGCTGCCCGCTGGTTTTTTGGTTTATTTTCACTCCCATTTCTTCGTTATCCATTTTGCTGCATCGCTATCATAATTTTTATTTATTTATTTTCTCTCATGCGAAATTAAAAATAATATCTAAACTGAGAACAGCGTGCCAGGTGTACCATCCTGTGCTTCGTGCTTATCCACGTCAGAAAACAAGACCCCAATTTACGCATTAGATGGATTAAGTACATTATCTAATAATGTTATCAATTTATCCTCTTACTTGTAGAGCCCCCCCCCCCCTTGGGCTTACGTGGCATTTTCGGTCAATGTGACGTCCAGCTGGAGTCAGGTGGGTGTGGCTGGCTGTTCCCAATCTCCGATGTACCCCTTTTTTCTTTTTATTTGAATTTAAATTTTAAATAATTTACCTCTCGGTATTATTTTTTTAACCCCATCCATGTGACCCATATGAAAGGACCATCTCACGCCGGAGAAACGGAATGGCTTTATTTTATTTAATCCATAAAGTTTTGAGATATTGTAATTAATTTTCTTATTACTATGCCACGTCAAATCATCACCCCTTAATATCTTTATTATTTGTTTGGTTCCTCTATGCGTATAAGAATGTGATTTATTTGGAAATGTTAAATACATAAGTTGATTTTATAAAATATCCATAAATACTTATTTATTTTATTTTTTATATATTAAAATAATTATAAATATAACAATATAAAAAACAATTACAAAGTTTAGTATTTTCTAAAAAAATGTTAATCACTTATTAACTCATCCTATAATTAGTATATTGTATTTTATCTAATCACAATGGTCGGGCATAAAAATTGATTTAGTAGTCACTAATTAAATATATTATCAACTTTTTGTTATTAAAAAAAATTGTTTGGACCGTATGTAATTTTAAAAAGGTTATTTAATAAATAAATAAAAATTTCACATATATAAACCAATTCAATCAGGCGTGTTTCATTATAAAACAATAATATCACGCTATTTATCCACGTTTAAAAAATACTGTTAAAATTCAAAAAATTTCGTTAATACATTTCTTAATTTTTTTTAGTTAAAATATAAAATTTTAAATATTACATTCATTCTTTACTTTTATTATAAAAAAAAAAATCAAAACAATTTTTACTCTTCAATATTATTAACAAAAATTATTTATGGGCTTTTTTAACTTTTTAATGTGAGGGTGAGAGTATTTTTTATGATATTATAAAATAATAATTAATAGAAAATTTATAATATAAAACTGCCTCTGTGCAACGCTCTTAAATAATTACTAGAAGAAGGGGAAAAAAGGGCTCCCAAGTGGGCCCTACTCACCAGTTCAATGCTCGTGGCATTGGCAACAATAACAATGGCAATAGCGGACTCACCAACGGAGCAAAAAAAAAAAAAAAGGAAAAGGATAAGAACAAGGGGGTGGGAATTTATCCAGTGCTACTCAGATGTACCATCAAAACCCACACTCTTTACTTCTCCACCGTCCAATCTGATTTGATCTGACCCCATCTGTTCATTCTCCTCTTCATCTCTCTCTCTCTCCTCTTTTGGATCACTGAATTCCGAATATGCTTCTTCCCACCACTTGAGCGTTGTTTCATTTTTTATTTTTTGTATTTCCTCTCCAAATTGGTAAATTATTTTTAAAAAGGTTGAAATTTGGATTTGTGTATCCTTTTCTTCGGGGTCTCAGTGGATTCATCATCTCAGTAGTCTGGGAGAAACAGTGTGTGTTTGTGTTCATGTTCTTCTCTTTTCTTTCTTGTCTGAATCCAGTCGGAAGCCTTCTAGAAGTACAACCAAACCCCCTAAATCAATTCTCCCCAACATTTTCTTTCAACCCTGGATTTTCAATTTCTCGTTCTGGTTTTGGTTCCATTTCAGTCGCTTTTTCCCTAGTTTTAAACGGGTTTTTGAAATACCCATTTCCCTCAGTTTCATGGATTGATCTTACACAGTGAAATCCCTTCAGAATCCATGGTTTCCAGGTCGTATTCCAATTTACTCGAACTTGCCACCGGAGAATCGCCGTCTTTCGGCCGTATAAACCGCCAAATCCCCCGGATTGTGACCGTCGCCGGCTTAATCTCCGACGTCGATGACGACCCATCTGAGAGCGTCTCCTCGGAGCCGTCCTCCTCCTCCACCTCTCGCGACCGGATTATCATCGTCGCCAATGAGCTTCCCATCAGAGCTCACCGGATATCCGGCAACGGCGGAGCCACCACCAACTGGAATTTCAGCTGGGATGAAAATTCCCTTCTCCTCCAGCTGAAAGATGGGCTGGGAGATGATGATTTTGAAGTGTTTTATGTGGGTTGTCTTAAGGAAGATATTCACCCAAATGAACAAGATGAAGTCTCTCAAATACTTCTAGAGACTTTCAAATGCGTGCCAACATTTCTCACTCAAGATCTTTACACAAGGTACTACCATGGCTTCTGCAAGCAGCAGCTATGGCCTCTGTTTCATTACATGTTGCCTCTTTCGCCTGACCTCGGCGGTCGATTCAATCGACCACTATGGCAGGCTTATGTTAAAGTTAATAAAATCTTTGCTGATAAGATCATGGAAGTGATCAATCCTGAAGACGATTTTGTTTGGATTCATGATTATCATCTTATGGTACTGCCTACTTTTTTGAGGAAGAGATTCAATAGGGTTAAGCTTGGATTCTTTTTGCATAGCCCTTTCCCATCGTCGGAGATATATAGAACACTTCCGATCCGGGAAGAGCTCTTACGAGCACTTCTGAATTCAGATTTGATAGGGTTTCATACTTTTGATTATGCTAGGCATTTTCTTTCTTGTTGTAGTCGAATGTTCGGTCTAACGTATGAGTCGAAACGGGGTTATATCGGGATAGAGTATTATGGTCGAACTATTAGTATTAAGATCCTTCCTGTTGGGATTCATATGGGTCAGCTTCAATCTGTTTTGAGTCTTGGGAAGACTGAGGAGAAGGTTAGTGAGGTTATTAAGCAGTTTCGTGATCGGGATCGGATCATGTTGCTCGGTGTGGACGATATGGACATATTTAAGGGGATAAGTTTGAAGCTTTTGGCTATGGAGCAGTTGTTGATGACGCACCCTGAGTGGGAGGGGAAGGTTGTGTTGGTGCAGATTGCCAACCCTGCAAGAGGTAGAGGGAAAGATGTTAAGGAAGTTCGGGACGAGATGAAGGCAACTGTTAGGCGGATAAACAATATGTTTGGGAGACCTGGGTACGAGCCAATTGTGTTGATTGAGGAACCACTCAAATTCTACGAGAGAATTGCATATTATACGGTTGCTGAATGTTGTTTGGTCACAGCGGTTAGGGACGGTATGAATCTCATTCCATACGAGTACATTGTCAGTCGTCAAGGGAACGATAAGTTGGATAAACTCTTGGGCTGGGAATCATCAGCTCCGAAGAAGAGTATGTTGGTTCTATCCGAATTCATCGGGTGCTCTCCATCCTTAAGTGGAGCGATTCGAGTTAATCCCTGGAATATCGATGCTGTAGCTGATGCCATGGAATGTGCGTTGGAGATGGCAGATGCAGAGAAGCAGCTCCGCCATGAGAAGCATTTTAGATATGTGAGCACACACGATGTCGGGTATTGGGCTCGGAGTTTCCTACAAGATTTGGAGAGGACTTGTAGGGATCATGTGAGGCAGAGATGTTGGGGTATCGGGTTCGGTTTAAGTTTTAGAGTTGTGGCCCTTGATCTGAACTTCAGGAAGCTCGCTATGGAACACATAATTTCAACTTATAAGAGGACGAAGTCTCGGGCTATTCTTTTGGACTACGATGGTACGTTAATGCCTCAAGCTTCAATTGACAAGGGCCCTACTTCAAAATGCCTCGAAACTCTTGATACCTTGTGTCGGGATAAGAAAAATACGGTGTTCATTGTGAGTGCAAAAACTCGAAAAACACTTGCTGAATGGTTTGCCCCTTGCAAAAAACTCAGCATTGCTGCCGAGCACGGATACTTTATTAGGTGAATTCTCACACGATGAATACATTCTCTTGTATCGTTCCATTGATCGTACATCCGTAATTAAAGCTATCGTTTCCTCTTCTTTCAGGCTAAAGCAGGATGAGGAATGGGAAACCAGTTTGCCAGTTGCAGATTGCTGTTGGAAGCAGATTGTGCAGCCAGTGATGAAACTCTACACTGAAACGACCGATGGATCGACAATCGAAGATCGAGAAACCGCACTCGGATGGTGTTATGAAGATGCAGATCCAGATTTCGGTTCGTGTCAAGCTAAGGAGCTCCTGGATCATCTCGAAAGCGTACTAGCCAACGAGCCAGTTACCGTAAAAAGTGGTCAAAGCATTGTGGAAGTTAAACCACAGGTACAAACTCATTGCCTTCATCGTTTAATTACCATTGTTTCTGATCTTCATACTCCATTAATTTACTACATATGAGTTACTTTAGGACTACAACCACGGATTATTGGCTATAATCATGTGTACTGTCATAACTTTATTCGAAATCCTTACAAACTAGTCGTTCGATTATCGACCGGTAACCAACAAAACCGTTGATTTGAACTGAGGATATTTTTTCCTATCAACCTTAACAATGGATGACCTGATGATCGTAGGGCGTCAGCAAGGGTCTCGTGGCGAAACGACTACTCTCTGCAATGCAAGAGAAGGGGACCCCAGCAGATTTTGTTCTCTGCATTGGCGACGACCGATCGGATGAAGACATGTTCAAGGTGATCTCAAGTTCCATGGCAGGTCCATCGATTGCACCCCGAGCTGAAATTTTTGCTTGTACAGTAGGGAAGAAACCGAGCAAAGCCAAGTATTACCTCGACGATCCATCGGAAATTGCTAGGCTGATGCATGGTTTGGCTTCGGTGTCGAGGCCAAACGTTCCGCCTTATCCATCCCAAAGCTGAATATAACAAGGGGCATAAGCTTGAAGTTTTTGATTTGTCAATGTCCATCCATTCCAATCTCTTTTACACTTCACAATGTACATATTGCTGCAGTTCCACGCAAGGAAGAAAGTAAAAGATGTAGATGAGCGGGGCTTTGATGAACTTAAAAAAGATAAAATGTTTTTTTATTATCACATTTTTCCTTTAAAATATTTTCCATGTATTTTTATTTTTCCTAAACCTATAACTATTTATTTAGTTACTATGTTTGTGATTATTTATTTAAAATTTTCAAACTCAATTTTATAATGGAAGATTAATTTATAAAATTAATTTTAAATGCAAACTTACCTAAAAATTATGGCAATGAGAAGGGTGATTATTAATAATTTAATGTGCCAATAAAATTCAACCATTTTTTTTAATCAACATTATTCAACAAAATATATTAAAATTTTGGTACAAGCAAGATAGCTTTAATTTTCTTTAATGCATATTTATTAACTTTTCATTAATAAAATTAAATTATACAAGGTCGTTTCAATAATGCTACACATTCAATATTATCCATATGTGATAAACTTTTTAAGTTATTTTTTTAGCATAATTTTCTCCTATGTCACTTATTGACTATTTAAAATTAAATTAATAACCTATAATTTTTATACGGATAGATATTATAAATTGTAAAAAAAATATTAATTTTGAGTTTTTAGGACATGAATTCTATCGGATCAACTTAAACCTTATCCAACTTGATCGAGAGATCATAAAGATGTTCACGAGGTGGGTTAGGACTATCTCCATCATCTCGAAATTATTTGTTTATTTTTTCATGGATTGGGGTGGGGCAAGACCGAGAATATGATTCTCGTCTCCAACTCCATTTAGCTCGTGGGTAGAAATCTAACCTCATTTTTTAGTTAAAACGGTGATTTTAGCCATCAAGCTAAATAGATATATTGGGTGCTTGGTGTCATAGTTATGCTCGTGCCGGGCGTGTTGTCCTGCATGCCCATGTCATGCTAAACTTTTTATTTGATTTTATGTTGTATTGTCTTACTATTGTATTTTCTGTTTATATGACGCGAAATCATGTCTAAGCTTGTTATATCTGAATCGCCTCAAAATATATTATAGGGGATGCACCTAATAGTCAATTCTTCTGACCTTAAATTATTTGTGATCAAACAAAACTCTTTCGGTAGATGATAATGAAGCCTCAAATTTGTAAAACTTTGAGTATACGTTGCTTGGCTGTGGACAACTCCGTAGTGAAAGGACACAATCACATAATCCGTCGCAACAAAAAGTGTGGTTGTGGACAAAGTGAATCTAAATTTACTTATAGAGTAACCCTATAGTGAAAGTGAGTCCATTACAGAGTGCTGTTGTGACACTGTATATGTTGAAATAATTGAGGAGGCAAATACCAGCATTTTGAGTGCTGCCCAAGATAACTGTCGAACAAAAAAAGGAAATATAATTAATTGAGGCTTTGAAATTCGATTTAGAAAACCAAAATACACGTGGCACGATGTAAGTGGTGAAATTACTACAAGATCTCTCCTTAGAACAGCACCGATGGCGAAAGCAAACCGCGGAGAAGAGAAGCGTCCACTGACATGCCTGCCTCTCAATAACCCAACCACACGACGCGGCGAAAAAGGGATAAACCCCAAAATTCTTCCTGTTCTACCCAATTACCCGAATCATTTTTCTATGCTTTCCTTCTAATTTCTTCCTTTATCCTTTTGCTTTCCTCCTAATTACGCTATCTAATCTCATCGGACTTCGAGAATTTTGCGATGGTGAAATCCGCGGGGGAGCGGCAGGGATCTTCGGTGGCGCCTTTTCTGAAGAAATTGTACGAGATGGTCGACGATGAGGCAACCAATTCCATTATCTCGTGGAGTCCGAGGGATGATAGCTTTACGATTCTGGACATGACTCATTTCTCTGTCCACTTGCTTCCCAAGTACTTTAAGCACAGTAATTTCTCTAGCTTTATGCGGCAGCTCAACATCTATGTGAGTTTCTTGTTTGTTTTATTGTCGTTTGAAATTTTCGATGCGATGTTTGTGTTCTGTTTTTTTTTTTTTTTTTTTTTTTTTTTTTTTTTTTTTTTTTTTTTTTTTTTTTTTTTTTTTTTTTTTTTTTTTTTTTT